ATGCAGTTGGGTGATATGTGTACATGGGTGGGGGACAGCAGCTTAGCTCATAGGAGTGTAGAAGATAGGTGTAGATAGAGAGAGCATTCTCCAAAAATAACAGCATTTAAACAATGTTTAAAGAACCACATTAAAAGCCATTCTTCACGGTGGAAGCGTGTTTGAGGAACTGGCATAAGAGCAAAACACTGTAAAACAGAGGAAAACACAAGCCAAGGGTGGCACATTTTATGTGTCCCCATCCTGGCACCCACCCATATATGAATGTTTTCCCCTCTGCTCCTGAAGACGCTGATTGAGACTCACGAAACCTTGGCATGTGTGCACCGAACACAGCGGCAAGGCTGTCTGACTCATTTTAGAGAGTGTCACCATGCTTACTCTGCTCTTCAGGGCTTGCCAGGACTATATTTTTAAACATGTCATTTTGTATTGGTATTTTCTTATTCACAATACAAAACAAAAGGGCATTCAACATTCAAGAAAACAACTACTTTAAGTGGAATGCAAACATATCTTAAACTGTTTTAAATTATCAGACCTCTAGCTTATACAAATAATCTTTGCCCCATATGGATTCCTGGTTTGATGATTTAGCTCTGCAGAAATTTTAGGTCCTTGGGCCTAAAAAATAAATTATCAATTTACTTTTTGAGTCTCTGATAGAACATTTGATTGTATTTGAATTGGCTATGGTGAATCTTCCATGCTGCATATTTATATTGAGGGGGTTATAGAGAAGGAGAGATTTGTATGGCACAATGCTGATCATTTAAAACTACCAGGCTAGTAATGAGAATCTCATGAGTGTGACATTTTATGATGTCATTTAGTTTCATTCGTCCTCTGTGTGATGTAGAAACCACTGTTATTGCCATTTGTCCATGAAGAAGCTGTGGCTGACCATGGCTAAGTGAGCTGTCAGAGGTACTGGGTTGGGAACAGTGTGCTGATGGGAATCACACATGTGTGGCCAAGTGTTTTCACATGGTGGGTGACCAACACCTCTCCCAGTCTGCAACATACTTGTGTAAACTTTACAAGCACCGTGGGTCAAAATCTATAAAATACAGACACCACGGTTCTTGATCACTTAGACCCATACAGTTCTCACATTCCAGAGGAGATGTGAATATAAAATACACATTACAAAGTGTCTAAGTCCTAACTCTTAGAAACCTCAGTACTCAATCAAGCCTTTTTTTCCCCCAACTTTTTCATTCCTGTGTGCATGGGCTGTTTATAACTATTTAATGAGGATGGGTTTATCCTCTCAAGTTTTAAAACTGTTTGGAAACATTTCCGTTCTGGAATATGGAAGCTGGCAAGCTTTTTGTAGTCACTTGTTTCTCTGCCTGGACTCACGCATATCACACACACATGAGGAAGGCTTGGTCTTTTCATTCTTCTAGATCAGAAACATCTGAACCATGATAATTAACGCACACACGACTGTATTTTGTAAATCAAGGAGCTGTGATAGGAACCAGATGAAAAGCTTCTGAAAGAGATTCTAGATCAGAAAAAGCACTGATTCTCCCACATATTTCTGAATGCATTTAACATTTAACAGGCATCTTGCCCAGCACATCTCATTTTTCTTTCAGCCCAATCACCATCAGTTTGGCTCTCCACATGCGAGTCTGCTTTTGAAAGTGTTGTCCAGCTCACATGAATCTAAGCTCATTTCTATAATGAATAATATTAGTAATTACACAAATTCTTCCCATTACCAATGCTTAAATTATTCATACAATCAGACCAAAGTGAGGTAGAGGGTCATCTGTGAAGTTTCCAGGCAGCAGCATCTTTTCCACTTTGCCTGTGCAGATGCAAGATGCAGTCAAGGGCTGGCTACCCTCTCACACTGACATGACTTGGGTTTGGAAGGTCCTTCTTCTCTCCTCACCCTCTCAGGATGCCCTGAACAACCATTCACTCAATGAAGGGCCATTGAGCTCCCACTCTGGGCACCACTTAGTGGTCAGTACAAAAATGAACAACTTCTCAATCAACAGGAACACACTAAAGAATGAAGACAGTGTATGTGCCACGTGAGAGGAAAAAAGCAGAGCTGCAAAAGGAAAGAGGAGGGACAGAAACTTTCTAAGGACTACCCAGAAAAACTTCATAAGGGAGGTGGTGGCCTTGAAAGACTGGTAGATTTCAAGATGAAGACAGGATGAGGAGGGGCAATTCGGGTGAAGAAAATGGATGAGCAAAGGACATAAAAGTAAAACCTTAAGGTATGCCTCAGAAACGTTGACGGGTGCACTGTGTTTCCTGCTGAGGCCAGTGGGACACAACACTGAAGGTGTAGATAGGATAGGGTTTTGAATAAATGTGTAAATCCAAAGAATCTAGACCTATCCTTTAGGAAACAGGAGAGACTTGATTTTTGAAGCCAGGAATTGATGTAATCAAAGCTATGCTGTAAAAAGACTGAACTGGCTGCAGAGGTGAGGTGAAGCAAGAGGAGAGCGGGCTAGGATGATCCCCACACCATCTGGGAAAGAGGCGACCGGGCCTGGAGTGGGACTGCGGGCGACGTGATACAAAGGAAGTGACAACAAGAGTCCCCGCAACCTGACCACTGAGATTTTGGTGGTATGTGACTGTAGGGGAGCAATGTGAGAAGATGGTGAAAAAATGAAGACCAAGGCCCTGGCCTCATGGCTGAGTTGGCTGGAGCATCATCCCGTACACCAAAAGGTTGTGAGTTCTGTCCCAGGTCAGGGCAGGAATGTATCTAGGTTGCAGGTTCGATCCCCGGTCTGGGTGTGTATAGGAGGCAACTGATTGATGTTTCTCTCTGACATAGATGTTTCTCTCTCTCTCTCCCTTCTCCTCTTTCTAACATTAATAAACATACCCTCTGGTGAGGATTATAAAAAAATGAAGATCAGGTTTCCCGCCTGGTGACTCAGGACACACTGAACTGGCGTAAGGGAAGAAAGTAGGAAATTGATAAATAGCATTTTTAGATATATTCAGTCTCACGTGACTGAAACAGCTGGGTAAAAATATCTCTTTGGAAATGTGAGACTAGATTCCTAATGGAGACTGAAAATAAAGACGGGGTGATAACTCATCCAGCCCACCGCACTTCTGATGCTAGAAAACCAGAAGCTTGTTGCCAGGAAGCCTTCTTAGCCCCATTTTACTGATGGGGATGCTGTGGCTCAGAGACATTACATAAAGTGCTGAAGCCAGTAGTGAGATGCCTGAGTTCGGATTTATGTCCTTGTTTTTCCACCACACTAAGAAAGGACAGCTCTCTCCCTCCTTTTAGTTTAGAGTTCTCGATGTTAAGTATTACCATGCATTCCTTTATCCATTTATCTCTTTTCTCCAGTTCTAATCTCCGTTCATTCTATTTGACTGAAATCTTGTCTAATCGGCCTCAATCACATTCACTGCCATTCCATGTCTCAGATTGCTTTTAACCTAGTTAGCGGTGCACTCTTTCATTATAGAGGATTTCAAGACAGTGCACTTTGAGCTCCCATGCCTTGCATTCTGCCCACAGTCCCACCAGGATATGATCCCTTATTAGCTTTGGGCTGTGCACCCCCAGCACTTCAGAACCCACGCTGGACATGTAGCAGACCAGCTTTTTTTTTTTTTTTTTCAGATCATGTCATCATGACACCAAATGCTCCCAGACAAAAGCCACACATGGTACTCAACTAGCATGAAAACAAAATAAATCATTTTCTTCTCAGCAATTTGGTTGCTACTTTGATTTTTATATTGCAGTTTCATTGACTCCCTGGCAGTATGACAAATCGTAAACTTTCTAACAGCTATTTATATTTTTCCACCTTTACTGGGAAGAGCATGGTTCAAGAGCTTTTAACATTTCCAGCCTCACCCTGACTGGTGTAGCTCAGTGGGTTGGGTGTCCTCCTACAAACCAAAAGGTTGCCAGTTCAATTCCCTGTCAGGACCCATACCCGTGTTGCCAGCCAGGTCCCCAACTGATGTTTCTTTCTCTCACCCTCACATCAGTTTCTCTCCCTTTCTTTCTCCCTCCCCCTCTCTCTAAAAATTAAAATATTTAAAAAATCTTCTAGCCTCTTTAGCAGCTCTCCAGCGAAAGTCCTGTTTTCCAACTAATTGTGTGCCTTGCTATTCTTCATTAACTAGTTCTAAATCAGAAACTTCTACGCCCCGTGTGCTAGTTCTCACACTTCCCTCCCAGGACTTCTGATAACTGGAGTCACAGATAAATCCTCCCCATGTGGCAAGTGAAAGTTAGTATCCTCCTTCCAGATGAGGAAGCGGCCCAGAGTGGACTGTGACCCATCAGCCTCCCTGGATCTTTTTCATGAACTATTCACTTAAGTTTTTGCTTAATCATCTCCTCCTTAAAATCCAAACCACGGGACCCATCCGTGGTGAAGGCTTCCTAGCCACCGCGACCCCAAGTGTGGGGTCACTACACTGAGATCCCTCAAGTGTCTTGCGTTTCTATACATCAGCACCGAGTCCTGTTTCCCGTTTGGCCCGCCAGCTACAATGTGTGGGCCTGGGCCGTGTCTCATGTGCCCCTGTGTCCCCAACATTTGATTACTAATTTCTATGAAGTGCTTTCACAAACACTGGTGAAAGTCCTCAGATCTCTGTTTCTAGACACATTCAATCAGAGGCTGTTTCAAAGGGACCTCAACCACACAGCATCATTCTCTTATTTCTAACTAATGTCCTAAGTATGTTCTTATTCAAGTGATTTCACCAGGCCCAAAGAGTTTAAAGTATATGTAAATGATGTACAGTGCTCCTCAAAATGACCATGTGAATTAATTTAATATTCTGATCTTAATAATGATTGATCCTAGAAATTATTAAATGCTTCTCTGGAGATCAGAGGATGAAAAAGGCAGAGCCCTGCCTTCAATAACTTATATCCTAGTAAGGATATCTCCAATAACTTACATGTTTAGCAAGGGATAAAGAGGTAATAATCTAATTACAAAGCTTTGGTTTTATACCTCTCTTCCTCAGAATGTTTTCCCGAGGTCACTACATGGTCCACGAAGCCTACTTTAAAGTCCTCTTTGGATGCTAACGTTCCAGGAAGGGACTTTAACCCTCAGGAACACTTAAGTCCCTGAATGGGAATTGATCCAGCTGAGAAATGCTTACGGCAGACAAAGGAAGGGGAGGAAGGCTTGAAAGGTCATTTCAAAGCCAGCCTGAACTTAACTTCTGTCCTGCTGTAAGTTAAACGGAGGTATAAGGACCCCTCCCCCCCACAACAAGGCAGTCCCAGCTTGGGAACGGCAAACCTTATAGGGCCCTTCAGGAGCTGCCGTGATGAGAAATACAATGTATGTACCGCCACCCAGACACGGCTCTACCAGATTTGTCTATTTTTAATCAATGGAATTTAGATTTAAACCAGAATTAGATTTGAGATTTACAGTAGTTTCTAGTATCATTCAGTTCATGGATTGCAGTCCTCTCTGCGCCCAGTCTTAATCCAATGCACATCGGAGGGGGATACACTGGAGTTGTCCACGAGGCTGGGGTGCGGGTGGAGGGGGCTCTAATGCCCGGCCCCCTCGGGAGACCGGCGCCAGGGGCCGGGAGCTGGACCTCTGGAACCGGTCAGCCGAGCTGGGTCCGGAGATCTTTGGCGCTCACCGCGGCGCTACCGCACCTGTGTCGCCCGGATCCCGGCGGTTTCCCTTTGATTATCTTTCGGACGCCGCCCCTCTCTCCGCAGAGGGTTCCTCCTCCAGCACCCCAGGGTTCCCCGGCGCAGAGCTTCACTTCTGCATAATGAAAAGCGAAAGCCGCGGCTGGCGGGCGGAGGGGTCCGCGGTACACGCGGCGTGGCTGCCGTTCTGAACCCGCAGCGGCCGCCAGGGCTGTCGCCACGCGGTGCGGACCCAGACCTCAACTTCCAGCCCAACTCGAGCGCCGGCGGGCCCGCAGCAGCCCCGACGCGCCCTGCAAAGCGGGCAAAGGGCCTTCAGCCCCCACAGCTCGGAGGAGCCTTCCCGGGCCGGTCCCCAACCTCCTGTGCAGCATGACCCCCGCCCGCCCGAGCGCCCGCCTGCCCCTAGGTCCCCGGCAAAACACGCCAAAGGGAGTTCGGTGTCCAACGGCCCTAACTTCGACTTCCAAGTGACACTTCGCCCTCCCTGGAGCGCGGAACCGCCTCCTCCGGCCTCCACCCGAGATCCTTAGAGCCGCGCTGAGGGAAGAAGATCAAATGCCCGGTGAGGGGCGCTCCCCGGGATTTTGAAAAACCTCTTCATCCGTCTCAGGAGCGCCTCAAACCCCAGCCTGCACCCTTTGGCCGGATGAATTTCACCCCGGGACGTGTCCAGGTGGAGGCCTGTAGCTGGAACGGGAGGAGAGGAGCCCGCGGTGCTGAGTAGCTGGGCTGCAGCCGCGCGCCCCTCGCGGTGAGGGGCGCGCGGACTTGTCGGCTCAGTCCAGCAAGGAGAGTGGGATGCTGCGCCTCCTGGAGAGTCACACACTCACACACACACACACACACACACACACACACACTCCACCGCCAGCCGCCCCCTCCCCCCTCCGCGAGCCGGACACGGAGGTCGGAGAGCCACTGCTCACTTTAAGATTGGAGCTGAACCGCCCAGATGGAGGCAGAGGCTCTCGCCTCTTCTCCAACGTTCGCACCGTCCTAGGAGCCTCCCCCGCCGCCCCTCCGTTTCCCAGAGCAAGCAAGGTTTGGCTTCTGAGATTCCGCTCATTGGACAGGGGTTCAAACTACACTTGGCCGGGGATGGATGGAGGGAGCACTAGAGAGCGAGACGCGCTCACCTCGGTCCTCCGCTCGGGGAACTAGCCAGCCTCACGCGCCTCCAGCGCATAACTAGGCGGTCGGCGTGGGGAGCGGGACCCCGGGGCGCTCCAGCTCTGGCGCGGGAAGAGAGGAGTGACAGCAGCCACCACTTCGCGCGCGTTGGCAAAGGCACCGAATCTCAGAATAGGCTGAGCAGCGGGCATGGAGGGTGGAGGCGAGAGGGCGGAGGAGGAGTCGCCGGAGCGGAGAGGGATGACGTCCTCCGGCGCCGGGGGATCGCGGAGACCGAAGATTCCTGCTCTCGCCCTGCCCGGCGCGCTCACTCCAGGCGTTCGCGGACCCGGCGCGCCGCGCCCGGCTCCCGCTGCGTCTCCAGAAAAGCGGACACCTAGGCGATCCCCGCCCTCTTAAAGCTGGATGCAAGACCTCCCTCCGTCCACCTTAAAGCTGGTCTCTGCCGGTCTCTCGCCTCAGGGTGCCCTCCCAGAAGTCCCTGCCTATTTCAGGTCGGTCCGGGTAGACAGCCCCCCGCCGGGGCCAGCCAGGCCAGCCTCGCCCCTTCCTTGTTTCTCCCTCATCGACCTCGAACCAAGGGCAGGAGCCGGTGCTCCGGCTCCTGCCCACCGTGCGAGCCAGGGTCCCGGCCTGCGCCAGGCTGCGAAGAGGGGAGAGGCACTGGAAAGGAAAGGCGCTCACCTGAGTCACCGGGAGCCTTCCTCCCTAGCCGCTCTGGAGCCTCTTCGCAGCCTCCAGGTCCAACCTTCCTCGAAGAAAAAAAGTAGCGCAATGGCAGCAGAGAGGTAGGGCTGCTCACAGGTACCCACGCAGCGGCTTTTCCCTGAAGATTTTCTTGGGTCGCGTCTCAGGCTCGGCGGCGGGAAAGGACTCCCCGAGGCTGCTGGGGGCCGCCCGACCCCGGCTCCTCTCGTCTCGGTGGCCGTGGCACCTCCGAGTTGCCACCTGCAGCGCGCGCGGGGCGCCTCTGACAGCCCGCGCCTCCCTGCCCGCGCTGGCCCGCCCTCCCCGCCCTCCCCGTCTGCTCGTTGGCTGCGCTCGGCGCCGGGCGGTCCCGGCTCTTCAGTCCGCCCAGCGCCCCGCCTCCGAGCCTCGCTCGCTCCGCTTGGGTCACCTACCGGGCCTCCCAGCGATTTGTAGCCAGCAAGTTCGGGGAGCTGCTCAGGCTTTTACAAACCGGGGATGGGGTGCGGGGTGTGGTGGGAAACCGGCGCTCGCATACACACACACATACACACACATTATTTTGTGAAGGGTGGGTGGGGACTAGTGGAAAGAGAAAAGACAGGATATGAGAAATGTCCTTCAGGTGCCTTAAGGGGACAAGGTAACTTGGTTTCTTTTGCTGCTATTAAATTTGTGCGGTCTGAAAAAGAGTTAACGTCACAGCGGCAAACAGTGCAAAGATGTGACCCGGAAAGTGGTTTGGGGAGAGTTATCATAAAAGTACACATGAAGGGCCAAAATGCGAAAATGAAGTCCTGGCGTCTCATGCCATTTCTCACTTAACCTGCTCCACTGCGATAGAAAAGCCTCCGGTTCCAGGGCCCAGAAAAACCACTCCCCCCACCAACCACGCCCTGCCGCCCGACACAGGTGCTTACCAGCTCCAAGCTTGAGGGCCCAGCGTTTGGGCCACATGATTGCTTGCTTCTGAAGCCGCAAGTCCAGGCCACGAAAATTTGTGCTGGTGCATGTCAGAGGCCAAGGATTTTGCACAATTCTTGGCCTTTTAAGTAAACGTTATTTTGCTTTTCCCACTTCTACCCCAAAGACTGGGATAGGCGTTCACTGCGGAATCTCCCAGGGCAATCAAGCATACTCTTCACTCTGCTTCTTAATGCCTTCTGAAGCCATGCTTTCTGGAAAGGCTGATTTGGTAAAATCTTTTGGAGGAGAAAAACTGTAAAGATATGAAAAGTACCAGTCTGAAAAGCCATCCAATCAACCAGAAACATCTCACTCCAGGGTATATCTGTGTGAAAGACATACATTGCCAAGTATACCCAATGGTTTAATAACATTTCCAAAAGAACTTCCCAAATAGCACATTTGATAGCCCACAAGGGAACTGTCTACTTTTTGAGAGTGCAGGTGAGTCACTGTTAAGTGTGACAAAGATTGCACACACAAACTCATGTCTACCTGCGATTTGTAGAGTCCTCATCAGGGTAAGGCAGGAGGAAAGGGGGTTTAATAAAGCAAGTCCAAAAGTGGCTCTTTGCAGGGCATATTGAGGACGGTTGGCACCAGTCAAGGAGCCACTCCCTGTCAACTGTTGCTAAGTAACCTGGAGGGCTGCTTCATAGCACTAGTTTCTTGCATTTTGAGGTAGATTTGTTTCATGAGACCCTAACATCTTGGGTCCACTTTGGGAATCAATAGCAAATTTCCCTCCCTCACCCACTTCCCCGGGCAGAGTGCTTACTTTTACCTCTCTCAGAAGAGGTTAGTTTTTATCCATCTTCTTGAAACCCAAGAAGACTTGGGTAGTAGAGTTCAGAGGCAAAACTTTCACACGGAGCCACTTCAGGACACTAGCCAGGTCGAGTGCTTGATTAACGAACTGTACTTTGACCTGAAAGGGGTGAAACTGTGAGTAGAATGAAGGAATGAGTGGCTCAGATTTGAGTGCACATTGACTCAAAACCGGAAGAGCGCCTGATAAAAATTGGGAGTTGGGATGGGGATAGTTATTTTACCTAGATATACATCTGATTGGTTGACTACCAGGCAAGGCATGAACAACTAGACAAGATGCATTTTCTTAATAGCAGGAAAGGAGCTCAGACGCAAGTTATGAGAAAGCATTATCTAGGAATGAGAAGGAATTTTAAAAGAATATGAGAGAGGCTATTGAGAGAAGTCAGTGGATGCCGTTTGACCCCTTGGACATGCCAATGGACACTGTGTGGTTCAAGATTCTGAAGCAGAGAACCAAGGAGAATTGTTGGGACTTAGAAGCAATAAGTGTGGAAGTTAAGGGTCTTGGAGTGGTTTGTGGCATCAGCAGTCATAGGGCTGAATCCTGGCTCCAGCATTTCTGTGTGATTTGTTTAATATGCGTGTGGGGCACATTGTTTAAGCTTCATTTTCTTCATCTGTGGTGAGGGGTAAGGGTGCCTACCCGACAGAGCTGTGGTAGAGACTAACTGAGAAAAGGCGCCTGCAATGCTCGGCACACTATTGTGCATACAGCAGGCATTCAAAGAATAGTAGCTAGTGCTGTAAAAAGTGTTTAAAAGGGGCTTAAAAGTCACCTAATACTTTTGATATTTGTTTCCAACAGAATATTTTCATCAGGTGCTGATCCTGCCTGTGCATTCCCTGTGGTAAGAATCTCATCGACCCTGAGTACATTCCACTTTTCTTACTTCAATATGATATGTGTAACACTGCCTTTAAAAAAAAAAACTGGCTGATACTTTTTCTATCCATAGTGGTCATTCAACTGTCTAAACCTTATTTCACAAGAAAGCCTTCCAAATTGTTTAAGACAAATAACAGATTTCTTGTGTGATTTATTTTGTTCAGGCTAAAACGTCCTGCCCCTTCAGCCTCTCCTCACATGGTATAGTTTCACAATCTTACACTATCTCTTACCCTCCAAATTGCCTTGACCTCCTTAAAATAAGAATGCACTGCTCCAACCCAATCCTTCCAACAGAATACTTTCCCTGCCCACACATGCTGTTAACCCAGCCTGCACTTTTATATACATTTAGATTGGGAGATCAACTCCTGATACCTACTGAGCCGCCTATTAACTAAAACTCATAACTCTTCACATGTTACTCTTTGTCCAGAACTTGGGGGGTCCTCGTGTTGTCACTCAATGTTTCTTTTCTGTAAAAGCAGGGTTAAACTCACTAACCATTCAAGTTACTTTTTAATTTATTTTGAAATAATTTTAAACATACAAATATATGGAAAAGGGTACAGATAACTCCTATGTCCTCCTCTCCTACTTTTCCCAGTTGTTACCATTTTACATTTGATTTCTCTTTCTCTTTTTTTCAAATAGGTAGGTAGATGATAGATAGATAGGTAGTACTCATGATCAATATTCTTCTTCTGAGACATTTAAGAGCAAGTTTAGACATGATGCCCCTCATACTTAAATATACCAGTGTATATATTTTCCTTAAATCAGGATTCCTTCCTACAGCAGCTCAATACAACCAATCCATAGAACTTGTTCAAGTTTTACCAATTTTCTCCTCCATCTCTCTCTTTTATTTTTTGTCCAGGACCCAAATCCAGGATCACACATTACATTTAGTTGCCATATGTCTTTATTCTCCTTTTGTCTGCCTGCTACAGTTCTTCAGTCTCTATGTCTTCCATGCCTTTCAAATTTTAAAAACCATATGCACTTCATTCTATAGTTCCATCAGACGTTTCTTAATCTCTGATGCAGGCCATGTATTCTTGTTGGAAACATCAAAGGAACAGCACTGTGCCCTCGACAGTTCATCCTTACTGTTGAGCCATGTCCACTGTGAACACCTGCCTAATGGTCTCTGAGTGATGTTGAGCCACCCTCTCATTGTAATGTTAATCTTGACCACCTGGATTGGTGCACGCTGAAATTTTCCATTGTAAAGTGACCATTTTCCCTTTTGTGATCAGTAAATATTTGATAGGGATATACTCTGTGGCCACACCGATACCCTGTTCCTCACAGAACCCTCCCTCAACCAATTTTAGGAGGCACTGACAACTCCCACCTGAATCAACCACTACCGTGGTGATTGCCAAATGATGGGCTTCTATTTGCATCATTCCTTTGCATTTATTAGTTGGCATTCTTCTGTAAAAGTCTTTTCCTTCCCTTCATTTATATATTTGTGTCAATATAGACTCATGTGTTCCATTCAGTGAGTTGTATTCTGTTATTTTGATTAATTTGATGTTCTAATTACCCAGATTTGGTCAGAGGTAATCTCTATCAAGCTAGCTCTTCTAATCCTCTGATAAGTCCTCATTATTGTTTGGGAAGCTTCTAACTTTCTGAAGCTACATAAATGTATTCCAGGTTCATTTAGTACTTTCCCTTTCCCAGCATTGAAATTAGCCAGCTCCACAAGGAGCCCTGGTTCCTTTTAATGGAAGATGGCATTTAGAAATGAGATACATCATGTTCACTGCTAATGACATGCCACAACTTCTCACTCTCTGAGTGGAC